GCGAATGGTTTGTTCGAAGATCAAGTTGGAAAATTTGACTGGTGAGTCTGCTCCTTCTCTTTACATATTGAGAATTGATTCAATATCGATTTAGGCGCCAGCAGTATGTTGGGTGTCCACTGCAAGTACATTTCGATGAAGGGGGCAAGAACGATCGGTTACTAGTTTCCACAAAAGAAAGCGTCTTCGCTTCTCTCTCAGCTAACACTGGACAGATAGGTTTGTCTTACAAAACTGCGCTGCCCACGCAACCGTGAAAAGCCGTGGAAGTACTTGTTCAAGGCAGACGTCCAAGTGTGCGTTCGGAATTCGTCTGAGGGCACTTGTCAACCGCAGACCTTTCCTCTCTTTCCTTTTTTCTTCCTCCTTCCTTCTTTTCCTTCCTTCCTTCTCTGTTCCCTCCTTCCTTTACCTTCTCCCTTCAACTACTGGGCTAGTAGATGCCACGAAAGAATACCTCTGGACCCTCGCAGTGAGAGCACATCTGGTTGACAGGTGCCCCGCAACCCTTTTATCGTAATTTTTCCTTGATCATTCTTCTGTTTCGATCACTCGAGCTGAAGAATCCTCACCCCCGTCTCCATCAAAGTATCCTGAATCAGGGTTAAGGACGACGCCATGGAAAATAGCCGCGTGGTCATGGTCCTCTTGTGACTACAGACTACTATCGAACGCAAGCCTTTTCCTTCTCCTTTTTTTCTTCCCCTTTCCTTTCTCCCTTCTTTCTCTCTTCCCTCTTCCTTATTCTCCCCCCTTCAAGCCTTCAAGTGCTCGGCAAAAAGGTCAACGAAAAAATGCCTCTGAACCCTCGCTCAGCGACGGAGTGTGACTCCAATCGTATTTTTTTTCATTCAATTTTTGTATTTGGCCTACACTTGTTCATTCACGATATATTATTAAATCATGTCAGCAAACGCTATGGGAATGATTTTGGTGCTATTCATCGCTGCCGCCCCAGTCTTCGGGATTCCGCCCACTTTTTGGTCGCAGTTTCACTGCTTGAGTAGTTTCGGGCGGATTTTTATCGCTGGAAGTGCCTTGAACCCTCTAAACAGGAATGCCACTTTCGCATGGTGCTCGTGCCAAAATTCAAAATTCCGTGGGAAATTTGGCAACCAGAGGATTCCGTCTTCCTGAATGCGAATATCACATTGTTCGGCTTGAAAACGCCGGGGTGTGCTTCACAAGGCCAGAGTTAAAACTATTGTTTTTTTTACTGTTTTTACTGTTTTTTTACTGTTTTTTCGAACTAATGGTAATAAGCTTGATGAGTAACTAATTTAAGTGTGGAGACGAATTCAAGAGGACGCGAAGGGTGTTGCACTACCATCTGTCGCCGATGAAACAGGTGGATCGTAGTTTCGCTCACTATCAGATCACGCAAATGGCAATAGTTTCAGCTCTGTATACTGTGTCCGACTCTGGTCGAGTTGTCAGGGCATGGAGTAAGCGGAACGGCGCATTGTTGTGGCAAACTGTCTTCACTGAAAAGGCCGATCCCAGGTTAGATTGGATTGGAGCGCTCGGTATAGGAAGCTCACTTCATGATTCGCTTTCCAGTGCACCACCGTTCATAGTGCTTGCGTCTAACACGATAGTGGTCTCTGGTTCGCACAGAATAGCTGCTTTGTCTGAAACTGGTGAAATTCGATGGTCAACGGCAGTAGAGAAGAGGTGTTTCCTTTTTCGAAACACGGCTACCGTTCATTGCTCTCGCACTAGTTTCACGTTTTCTTTCAGTCACTGGTCAAGAATATCTGTGGAAAACGACGTCGTCCATCACTTGTCAATTCTGAATGGAGTTTTTCATGTCCATGACTTTTCTCTGAGCACTGGGGAATCCATAGTCATCAAAGCGAAAACCATCAAAGCTGTGCGAGGAGAAAGGTACCTTCAATTCTTAGACAGTCAGCCCTCTGCGCTAGAGTGCTTTCATGCTTTGCGGTAGCGTTTTGAGGTACGAAAACGCTGGCACACACTCAAAACGCTGGCAGACGCTCAAAACGCGGCTGCAGAGTATGAACGCGCTCCTTCTGTGTTGCCAGTTGCCATGCTAATTATGCCGCGAAATGGAACTTTTCTTTCAGATGTGTTACCATGCGGGATCGTTTAGTGTGTGCGGATGGCGAGTCGCTGTACATTGTGGACGGTATCACTTCTACTTTGAAAGATGAAAACAAGGCTATCGGTTTCAAGATCAAGTATGAATGCTTTCAAAAGTGTTGGTTCCTTGAGTCATTCTGTGCCTCTGTGCTCCAGAGAAGTGATAGCATTGGACATGGACCACCTCCTGGTCAAGGGTGCGACATCCGCGTCGATATTGCGTTTGAAACCG